ATAGTGAATCAAATAACAAAAAACTAGAGGTGCTTTAACAGCAATCAAATTCTGCAATTAGCCATTTGAATTTGAAAGATTGCTAGAAAATCATGTTTGAAAAATACTATGAAGCTACCAGCAAAAGATAGGGAAATCAGGTTTGAATTCAATATAATTTTATTCCATTAGCTCAATCATTTACATAGGAAAATTAAAACTAACATCCTCTTCGATTACCAAGTTGACATTAGAATTTTATAACTTCAGCATTCAAAATGATAACATTCTGATTCACTTCCTCCACTACAGCCCCTAAAACTTCATACACGAATTAACAACTACTACCTCCTTCCATTTTCCTCTCACACTTCGTCATTCCTCACCTTGTAACCCCTCCATCATAACCAAACCCACAGAAATTATACATGAACAATTAGATTTGAAAAACAAAAATATATCACTTTAAGTTAACCACAACCTCCTCCAATTAACATCTTCCGTCATTAACTTCACCCCTCACTCCCTCTCAAAGTATAACACTCAATGATTGACAATGAAACTCACAAAATTGAAGAACATTATCATATTGCTTGGTCTCAAATGGAAGAATAGAAGGAGAGTATAGTTAGAAACATTACCCAGTGATTCCTAGGCTTGGAAATTGCAAAACACGTTGTCTCTTCTTGCCTTGCCATGAATTTTTATGTCTTGCCTTCTTAAATTGTTTTCAATAACAGAGGGGCATTTTAGTCTTTTAGGCGTGATTTACTAATTGCAATTTAAGACTCAATCCCTCCAAGCAATTAACTTTCAAGTACCTATTTGGTTTATTTCAGGGTCTTTATTGTAATTTTCCCTTAATTTTTTTCCTTTAGATTTTTTGTAGCTTTTTAATTTCAATTTACAATTACAATTTTTTCAGAAGACGTATCGAGAGATGGGCTCTTCTCTTAATATCGTCCCCTGAAACTTACAAGTGCATTAAAAACCCTAGCTGCGAAGGTCAAGGCCGAAGGGTCTCTTTCTCGATTCTCAGGCTCGCTATGATTGGCTGACATTTCGTTGAATCTTTGAGTTAAAGGGTGAGGAGGACGGAGGCATGTACAGAGATCGAGGAGCAGTTGGATCGAAATCGGAAGTGGGTTCCGTTGATCGGAAGCGAATCAATGACGTCCTGGACAAGCAGCTTGAGCGATCCTCGCCGTCAACATCTAGAACCATCAACGGCAAGGATAGGTCGGCACAATCTGTGCTGACCGGCAAGCCACCCCATGACCACAGGGGCCCGCGTGCTCCCGTCTCCAAAAATACCAACGCTTCAGATGGTTAGGACCGAATACTTCTTTCTTCTGTGCATATATCGAACGAAACTGCAGAAATTTCAACATTTTGTTCGTGCGTTTTTGTTCCTTATAGGGCCTGATCTATTTTCCATTGTAAATACCTGTGTTTAGTAAGACGAGGCCATAAAATGCCGTTGGGAAAATGTCTGTTTTGTCAACTAATTAATAGTTATGTTTACCTAATTTTCTTTCCTTTGTTACCTTGGGTAAAGTGAAGGGGAAAGGGAGGGCTAAGCTTACTAAAATTAGAAAAGTTTCTCTTATTGGATTTCATGATTGACTGTAAAAACTCGTGTTGAATTAATTAAAATGCAGACAACAGAACGGTATTGGTAAGTCAGAGGAATAACTGCTGTCACTACTGCGCTAATTAGTTCTTTTATAAGGCAAATCACGGATGGTCAAGAGGAAAATGTATCAGTTTGTCACCTTCTCATTCACTTAACTGTATTCTCGTGGAAATTGTTTCTTTTTAATCACCTCTTCACGGTCATCTTCTATTTGTTATGTCATCGCTACTGTCTTTTCAGCCCATTTCCTTCTCTAACAGATTCTGAGCTCTTAAAACATTGGTATATTCCACTGTCGGATCTGTTAGAAAGACATAAAGATGATAGCGAAGGAGATAAAAGACAGACTGGCATTTGTTTTTTCCGCCGTGGCTTGGGCTGTTGCTTGGGCTGGTATTAATGAGCTGATCTTAATTTTATATGCTTGGCTGTAGAGGAATCTGAAACAGACAGTGAAGAGTCAGATGTTAGTGGTTCTGACGGAGATGACACATCTTGGATTTCATGGTTCTGCAATCTGAGAGGAAATGAATTCTTTTGTGAGGTCGATGATGATTACATCCAAGATGACTTCAACCTCTGCGGATTAAGCAGTCAAGTACCTTACTATGATTATGCACTTGATTTAATTCTGGATGTTGAATCGTCCCACGGTAAGCTTGTCTGCATATTTTCCTCATGTTCCTTTTGTGTAGCTCTGATCACCTATTTGCTCCTTCTTTACTTAGCATTCATAATGGCCACTGTTCATTGTTTGCAATGTGTAGGTGACATGTTCTCAGAGGAACAAAATGAATTAATTGAATCGGCAGCAGAGATGCTATATGGTCTGATTCATGCCCGATACATCTTGACAAGCAAAGGAATGGCTGCTATGGTCAGATTTTGCTCTCATTTATCCTTGCTTTTATGCTTTAAAGTCCACAAACTTTTGACTGATGATGAAGTTTAAAATTTTGCAGCTGGACAAGTACAAGAACTATGATTTTGGTAGATGCCCAAGAGTTTACTGCTCTGGACAACCCTGCCTTCCAGTTGGTCAGTCAGACATTCCCAGGTCAAGTACAGTGAAAATATATTGCCCTCGGTGTGAAGATATTTACTACCCTCGGTCTAAATATCAAGGCAGTATCCTTATACATATTGTTGAGCAATTTCAAGGTTTCATCTGGAGCACCAATATATCAGCATATCTCTTGGAATTTGATTTTTCTTCTTTCATGTGTCTCTATTGGAATTTAATTTTTCTTCTTTCATGGGTCTCACTTCTTTCTTGCTTTTGAGATCTGTTCCTTGGCCTGCCCATTGTGGATGTGGTCTGTATGGATCTATCAATTCTGGTTTCGATCTTCTGTCATTCCACATCTTGCCTGCATATACTACTGCAGCATGCATGCATATCAGAAACTGTCCCCTTATATGTGGTATGAGGTAGGAGTCTGTGTTCACTGATTCTTAAAAGATTTCTTTTACTTGGATGCATTGTTAAAGGTACACAAGACTAAGTTGAGTCATATATTAGATTATGACGCAGTTATATTAAAATAATGAGCGGTTAGACATTTTTAGGATATCTTTAGGATATCGGCTTCCCAATATTTCTGAGATATCAGGTAGGCTTTCTGGACAACCCGTTCAGATTTTTAGTTTGTGTCTCTGGCATTTAAAATTGTTTGCTGAGTCTGAAGATTACCAAATTTTTCTGCTGTCATTTTGCCTTCATATTTCTTGAAGATTTCTTTTATCTTTTTTGTGGTTTGTCTTTCCTCTGTCAAATGGATTTAATTGAAGCTTGTATGATTTTTGGGGATGATCGCACGTCATCTTTTTATTCTATGTAGTTGTCAGTTAAGTTTTGCAGTGAATCATTGTCATGTACCTTCCGCTTTTCCTTGAGTCTGCCTATCTAGACATTGATGGAGCTTATTTTGGGACTACGTTTCCTCATCTCTTCATGATGACGTACGGACAACTGAAGCCACAGAAACCATTACAGAGCTATGTTCCAAGAGTTTTTGGTTTTAAAATTCACAAGCCATGAAAGCTTACTTACCGTTAAGGTTGAACGAAAGAGGTGCCCATTTCTTGTTTAACTATCTTGTAATATTCTTTGCAAGGTTCAGCAGATGATAAGTGTTTGCACATCAGTTCCAAACTAGACGAGCATGTTGTAAAGAAATATGCAGGCGGTCAGTCAAGCAAGTGCTTGATCTCACTTGCAGCTTCGAATTCAAGTGCATAGATTCTTTAATGCTCTTTCGATGCTTATGTATTTTTGCCATTAGCTTCTCTCCTTGCTGTTTTAAGATTGTGATTACAAATCCCCTGCTATATTTTTATATTATTTTATTGCTTTTTTTTCTTTTAGCTCACCATTTATGTAGCTTTTGAATTAGATGGATTGGCCTCAACAAATTCGGTTATTTTATAAATTCAGATTCAGATGCAATATTGTGAAGCATCGCTACATAAACATTAGTTGATCATTTGAAATTAGAATACGTGCGCACCATACGTCTCTACCTCAGAATTGTCAATTTGTTCTCTGGTTTGTGAACCTGTGAGTCTGTCGCTGTTCTGATGCATGTGCGCTTTCAATTTATGCATGTTTGGTTTACGTTAAAATGCGAAATGTGAAGCATTTAAGCGGAATGCAGAATTTGGAATAATGCTTTGCCCTGGATTCTAGCTATTGTGAGCTGAACTTTGCAATGTTGTTATTTTGACAAGGGTCCTAAATAAAAGATCGGGCAGACGCTTGTCGAATTTTATTAAAATTTCATCTATAAAATTCCGTCTGCTAATAATTTCCTCATTTCGGAACAATTGATATTTAATTATTTATTTATTATTAAAAAACAATTTAAAGTTTTTCACCAAAAATATAAAAGTTGCAGCGTCAACATAAAAGATGATATTTCAGATTAGCCAGTGGTGAATAAATTAGATTGATTATATATTTGTTTGAATAAACATGTACACGTATTGCTATATTACAAAGCATGAACGGTATTTGCCATTGAATGCGCAATAGCTTTCTCTTAAATTGAGCTTCTAGGTGCTCGTAGAATGCCCACTTTGCTAGGACGATCATGCGAATCGAGGACAAAGTAACAAATTCCAAATAAAGCAAGATATTCAATAGGCCATCTGGGATTGCATCGCAAAAATCATTCAACTGCAATTTATTAGATATGCAGCTCAGCACCTGATACTTGACTCTTCCTCCAACCACTATGCTTTTGGGTTTAGAGTGAGGTTTTCAGACCTGTCAAGGCCATATATAAGTAGAGGTACCATGCCAAGAGTAAGCTTACCATGGAACTTCCCAAGTGCATAAGATTTTTCTTAATGACTACAACAAGCAAACATGAAGGCATGCATCTTTGAGAAAAAATATAAAAGCACACAAAGATACTGCGTTGATTTTCGAAATCAGGGTTCCAAACAATTAATTTAAAATGGCATTATCAGACTAGAATCTCAGTCAAAAGTTGATGATTCTCAAACAACTAAACACAGTGCTCTGAATATGAGCCATCTCTCTCTCTCGTCTAATTGCTCATAAACTAGCATGCACCAAGAGCTCAACCCTCGGTTTGTTCCCTCAACCTACGAATGGTACTCCTCACAGTCACAGCACTCGCAGTACTGGCAAACAGCAAAGAACAAAGTCAGGTGGCTGCTGAAAGGCAAAAAAATAACAACAGGGCAACCAAATTTGAAGGACTTACTTCAACGTGTAAGCACCACCTGCTTTCACTTTACCACAATCCTTGCAGCCCCATATTCCAACAGCTTTCCTCTTCACAGCATACTGCAACAAATAGGTTCATAATAAACGGTTGATTCTCTTGGGTTGAATTCAAAATATCAAAGCTACTAATAACCCCTCACAAAGAGATCGTGTAATAACACAGAAAACCTACCTTCCCACAAAACTCACAGAAATATTTACTATGTTGACTAACTTCCATCTTCTTAATCTGCTTCCGAAGACTAGCACCATACCTGGTACCTGATATAAGAAAATAAACAAAATGGCTTCAGTAACCAGTCCCAGGAAAACAGAGGTGTTCTCCAAATCTTTTCATGCTAATTGCAATGGTACTAAGTAGATACATAATAATTCATAAACAGGGAAAAAGTTCCCACGGTGATCAGGCACTCAGGCATATCTTATCTATTTAGGATCCCATAACCACACATTCAGATATAAGGAATTACCATTCCAAACTATGGCCAAAGAACGAATATCAAATGCCTTGGAGAAATCATTTCAAAAAGCTCACCTGTCAGCAATAATAGCTTTTCAGAGGATAATTTGTCACGTTTTTTTCAATGGAGCCATATAGCCTTATCCCTTTTCCTTTCAACTAATGGGAAGGGATAGAAAGCCAAAGGCGCCTTTTTTTTCCCTTGGTTCTGAACTTCCCATGTTACGATCACGCATGTTCCCCGCTCACACTCCCTCCTTTTCCCCCCCACAAGGTCAAAAACGAGTTCTCCATATGTTATAAGATCATTCTGGTATCATTCATGTTCACGCATAACTAGCAGTTTAATCGAATCTTTATAGACACTAAATTACCAGTTTAGGAGTAGGAACGATGGGCAAAACATAAAACTAAGCAAATCAGACCTCAATAATATCATAGTTACTAAACGCTTACCATACTTTCCAACAATGCCTGCCTTCTTGGTTCTCTTCGTCTACAACAAAAAGAACATATAGAGTTAAAGCTTGATACACGAGAGAAGAAAAGACAGGAAAATGTAAGTTCCATGTAAAATCAGAGGAGTGACAACTTAATTAGCTTCACAAAGCTCCACGCTTTCTGAGCGCTAACGTAAACCACAGTTTATACCCAATACATTCCGCATACTAATCTATCAACTTTGAATGTACCAGAATTATACACGGCTTCAATTAGCTTCTCGAAAATGGGTTACTCGAATAAATAGATTGACATATGTACAAATGACATCTAACGATGCTTGAATAATCACACAGAAAACTCTTAACAGTCCCAAGTCACAGAAAACAAAAGGAAGTAAAATATCGAAGGATATGTAAATCAATGGGAAAGAAAGTACCATGATTTGTTGCTTGTAGGCACTCTAAGCACGAAGGCAAGGAAGCTGCAACAAGGGGAGAGAAAAACGTGGTGAAACCCTAGAAATCCCTTTTAGGCCGCGGTATAGCCGGGTCGGGGCGGTGGCTCTTGTGACGTAGAGGATCCGATTTATTCGAATCATGCTAGATTTTTAAAAACTAAATCTATCAAGTGGGCCGCCATCCCAACGCTTCCGTTGTAGTCTAGTTGGTTAGGATACTCGGCTCTCACCCGAGAGACCCGGGTTCGAGTCCCGGCAACGGAAATGTTTTTCATTTTTGCCTGAAAAGATATTTTGTCGAATTTCCTTTGCCCGATACGTTGCCTCTTTTGCGCAGAATGGATAGTTCCCGCGTGGTCTTGTGACCTTGCCAGAAGAGGAAGATTATGATTTATAGCTAAAATAAATAAATATAAACATGATGATTTAACAAAAAATATAAATTTGATAAAATAAAATAATTGATTGAATGACAGTGATAAAAGCTTTGATAAAGATTAGCTTTTGTCAATGGTGTTGGAGGCTATTAATATAACAATTGTAAGTTAATTTTATGCATTTTATACTAAAAAATTCATATGGAGTTACGTATCAAGTAAGGAACTAGAGAATCATAAGCATAACTGAAATCTAATGAATATATTTTTCATGATAATTAAAAATATTTGTGAACGCCCACTGGTCATGTGAGACATTTAAAGAAAAAAACATCACTCAGATTTTCATAGAATAGGATCTCTCTCATTTGCAGGGTGTTAAGTATGGAAGAGAAAGCTTCTTCTTCTTCCTCTTCGTTGTTTTTTTTTTTTTTTTTGCTTTTTACATAGCAACAAGCATGCATATTCACCTGCCTCTCTGAAGGCCTTCTTTCCACTGCAATTTCTTTCTTCTTTATGATTCTCAGATAAAATGGAAGCTCCACACTGTTTGCTTTTCTTTCAAGAATTGACGGAATAATCCGATGACTTTCTAATGCTTATTTGGAGTTGTTTATGATAAGTGTTTATAAGCATGTTTACGTAAATTACGACTGAGATATTAGGATTAAACTAATTTTTAGTCTCTTAAATTTGTTTTTATTTTGATTTTAACCCTTCAAATCATAGGTTTTAATCATTAAATAGACAAAATAGTTCAGATATTTACTAGATTACAGTGACTAATATTTTAAATAAAAAAAAGCTTTTAGAGAGTAAAACTTGTGGTTTAAAACTTGAGAAATAAAAAATAAAATGAGAACAAATTTAAAAGACTAAAATTATATTAATCCAAAAATACTGCTACTCCAAACAAGCACCTGGATTTTCACCGCAGTAGGCTTCGTGTTTGATCTTCATCGATGCCAAATGATGATGTGTTAAAAATAAATAAATAAGTCATCACAAAATATAACCAAACAACTTAACACGAATGTGGTTGTTTAGTACGCGCAGAAATTAGAAGAATACAAAATTTATTTATTTTTATTGATTTCACGAACAATATTCATGAATAAGATTTTTAATGAAACGAAAGGAGTATGTCTAGGAATCAATTGGAGTTATAAAGAGCTTGACATAGATTTTTTTTTTTCTCTCCACAAAGTAAATATCATCTTAAAAATAAAGAAAACATAAATATACTTGTAGGAAAGTGGGCCAGTCCACCCTTGGTGGATGGACCCAAACTCATTAAGCTTTGGGGTTCTGAAGCAAATAACAAAACATTTGGGTCGAAAATTGCAATTTGCTCCTTTTTAGTTTAAAACGGTTAAATAACCGTGGAGGCAAAATTCAAAAAGGGAGACGTTTTTTTTTTCCCTTCGGTTTCAACCGTCCGAGTACCCTTTTTTTATATTGAGTCATGGGTCTGGCATTCGGTTGGCTTTTTCGTTTTGGTCTCCACACTTTGCTCTCCATCCTTCCCTTCCCTCTACTCTAGTGTATTTGCTGTGTCTCCCAAATCGACTTGGCAACCTGACTTTACTGGACTCCAGGTATGCCCGAAATCCTTCATTGGTATCAGAGCATCTGATATTTTCTGTAGATTCTGTGGCCTGCGTTTTTATATCAGTATTATTTTCTGATTGTTCGGTCTGAGTAACTTGTGATTTGCTTCAATAAATTATGCAAATCCTCCATTTTACCTTCAGTATGATAGTTTTTGTGTCTTATATTTATGTTTAGACATATTGGGTTGCTTCTCTGCCTCTGTGAAAATCGGTTTATACAGTATCTACTTTCGGCCGTACGTTTTCATTTTTTGGGTGTCTCGAAAATGAAGTTTTTTGGATTCAAAGATTATCCCATTGCGTAGAGCTCGAAAAAACGAAGAAAATGACATAAAGTACACTAAAAACGGACACCGGACGGCGGAGATACGGAGGAGAGAAGAAAGCGGGTTCGACGGGTCCGACGGACCCGACCCGGTTGCAGAAGCCGGGTCAAGGCGACCCGGCTGGAGGTTGAAGGAGACCTCCAGGGGCCAAAACGGCGTCGTTTTGGCCCCTCCTAAAAAAAAAAAAAAGGTATTTACTGGGCTGGACGTAGGATCCAACCCAGACCAAAAAAAAAAAAAAGGGAAAGGGTGTACTGGGCTGGAGGCAGGATCCAGCCCAGACCAAAAAAAAAAAAAATTTGTGAAGGAAACCGGTTGGGCCGAAATGGACCCAAACCCAACCGGTCCAAAATACTTTTAATAAAAAAAACGAATTTTAAAAAAAAAAAATTTTGGGCCAAGCAGCGCCACGTGGCGCGTTCTGCCACGTGGCACCCCACCTTGGCACGTGGGGACCACCACCTGACAGGTGGTGGCGCGTGGAAGCCGCAGGCACGGCGCGTGTCGCCGGCGTCAGGCTTCATGGTGGCGCGTGAAGTACACGCGCCGACAGGGCGAGTGGGAAAATATTTTTTTATTTTTTCGATAATTTTTCCTTCTAGGGGCGCGTGTAGGCGCGTGAAAGGTCCGTTTGAGGTGCGGTTTGTCTCTAAAAATCCCTAAAATCAAGATTTGTATTTTGATATATAATTTGATAATTTTGGAGATAATTAAAGATCTATTTGTGAGTATTTTCAGTGTATTTTCTGGTATTTTTCATGCGGAAATAAATTCCAGAATATTCAAAATAATTTAAATTATTTTGTTCTAGGTGAAAATGAAGCAAGAGGCTTCTAGTAGCACTGAAAATACCCAAGATGGTTCATTGGAATACTTATACATGGATAATGCAGTTCCAGAATATGAACCAGAGGATGAAGATCCTGAAGAGGACCCTGAAGAGGTTCCTCAAGAAATCCCGGAGGAGTTAATGGATTCTGGACCTGAGTCAGAATCTTTATTTCCCACTGAACCCCTTCGCACCGAACCTCATTTGGTCTGTAATGATTCGTTAGATCTTCCCAATAAAACCGAAGTAGAGGAAGGCGAAGAGGTGGATCAACCCTGTACCCCTGCTTTAGCTATGAGAATAGCTGAAAGTGATGCAGCTAAATTGACAAACATAAAAGGCATCAATGGTGTGCTCGCTAGCTACGTCCATTACATGACCGATAAGAAGAATACAGAATTCTACCTTAGAGTCATAATGGAGTACATAAGAGCAATAAGAGTTAGAGGCGGACCTAAAGGCAAACCCATAAGAAAGTCTTACTGGATTTGGGCCATAGAGCTAGTGTCCTCCTTTATGAACAAAACGCGTAAACTTAGAAGCCTAAGAAAAGCAATGCTTGATTACATTTATGTTCATATCAAATGATGTAATATTTGTATTCGCCATGAATTTGTGATTTCATGCATTGTAAACAGACTAAGTATGTTATTTCATTTAATGAAATTACTTGAATTATTGTTGTATGATTATTTATGAATATCATATGTATGCCTTTTATAAGTGGGAGCTTTTAGAAGATGAGACTTCTAAAGGTTACAATCTTTGAAGTGCTTATATAAAATCCTTGATAGGACATGATGATTATTGCTAGTATCTGTGTGATGGGAGGTACAAACGTATTCTCTTGATCATAGATCTTGTAATTTCATTATTTACTGATCAAGGATAATATAGGCACATTACATTGTATACTTCATTGTGCTATATAACTGAAATGTTCTTTGGTTCGGTTCTCTTCAAAGAGAACATAGATTAATGTGGGATAGATTTGTCACAGAACTAAGAATGGCAACCAAGAACATAATTGCTGAATTGAACAAGGGAGAAAAGCTTAACGGGGACAACTGGGACATCTGGCACCGAAAGGTCCAGTATATCCTAGAGGAACAGGATGCGATAGAGCCTCTCACCACTGCTATGGTTGAACCTGAGGCTGGCAACACAAACCAGCACAGGAGAGACCAAGAGGCATATCTAACCTGGAAAAAGAAGAATAGCATAGCAAGAATCACGCTTTTGAGCTCCATGGCTGATGACCTGATGTGTGAGTTTGAGTCGCACAAAACTGCACAGGCCATGTGGATAGCATTGAAGGATAAGTTTGGCGGAGTCTCTACGACCAAGCTTAGAAGGTTGACAATTAAGTTTGATACCTATAAGCTCAAGCCAAACAATCCTATGAAGCAACATCTGAGAGAGATGGCCAATATGATCCGGGAACTGAAGGAAGCTGGACATAATCTATCTGATGAGCAGCAAGTGCAGGCTGTCATCAGGTCGCTCCCTGCAAGTTGGGAGCACATGAAAGTCAACCTAACCCACAATGAAAACATGATGTAGCTAAGCATCTGGAGCTGGAAGATGAACGTCTAGAGGCTTACAAGAGCTCTGGACAAACTTATTTAACTGAGGATGCTGGTACTTCCCAATCTAAGCCCAATTTCAAAAAGGGCAAGAAGCCCCAAAAGAAAGGGAAGAAGGGCGGTCCTCAATTTAAAAAGGGCAAGAAACAATTTAAGAAGAAGGGAAAGAAAGGCGGGAAGAAGAAGCTAGACCTGAAGAAGGTCAAATGCTTCGCCTGCCAACAAATGGGCCATTTCGCACGTGACTGTTCTAAACAGGCTGAAAGCGAAAAGGTATTAGTGAATTATGTGAATTCACATGTTTCATATGTTTCTAG